TTTGCTTGAAACTTGTGTTTCACAAAAAAAAACTTTTTTATCGTATTTTACTGCATGTCTATGAGAAAGTCATTCTGTATAAAATGTTACAAAATTGCCAATTCTTGAATTTGATGACTGACAATGAAAAACTATTCATCAACAATACTCTACAATGTCCATGGCTCAATTACAAATTTGGGGAGTGTCTTTTTTTGATATGTCATGCATGTGATTTAAAATTACACTGATGTGATCATGTGAATGGTAAAATATTAATGGCTTATAGTGAACAAAAAGTCAATCCTCACAGGATGACAGTCACACACAGAGAGAGTTCAATGATTTCAGAGAGTTATGAGTCATACAAGATTAAAAATAAAAATATTTTCTCTGAACTCTTTGTATGTGATTGTCATGCTGTGGGAATTGGTTTGACTAATTAAAGTTTTATTTACCACCATGCATTTATTGCATTGCCATTTGATCTATGCCCATAATGCATTTTCATTATTTGCCTTCACGAAAATAAGTCTACTACAGTTGAAGAAATGTTACGCCCTTTGCCCAAACCAAAGCAACTGCACCATGGAGATTAGAAATCATACAAGAAGTAGACAAAGACTCCAGATCAACATCGTCTTTAAGCTCTCCTGTTTCTGAGAAACTACAAAGATTACGTCCATAGTTAGTTAAAACCAGGATCCCTTTTGTGATGTAATTTATCGCAACAGAAGTAGTATATCCATATTTTTCAGGTATCATAACTTTGCGTTCCAACTCCCAGTTCTCCATGTAGATATAAAGACAATCTTCAAAATAATCTGCAGCAATTATTTTTGTTCCATTATTATCTAGAAACCGTATCATATTCACATTGTGAGATAATTCTTTCAGAAGAAAACTATTATGGACTTCAAATGAATTCGTCTTACATGAAGTTCCGACGTGTAGAATTTGTTTCTCTCGATCAAAAACGGCGATCATTTTGTCATTGTTTACTGCTATGGGTACAGCATATCCAAATATATATGTATAGTCTTTCATGTGTTTAAAAGGCAACAGAGACTCAAGTTTTTTCTCTCCATGCTCATCAAATATCAACAACTTGTAACTGTATTGATGACAATCGATTTCTCGAAATCTCGTGATGACGTAAAGGTTATCTTCAGCGTCGATATCTATCGCAGCAACCTTGTAACGTGGCAAATCCTCTTGTTTGGAAGAATCAAATATTGTACGGGATTCTCCTGAGGGTTCCAATATTTGAACAGAATCATCTCTCGCCATCGCAACAATTTCTCTTTTTCTATTTACAACACAACGAGATGGATTAATACTTTCGGAAAATGTGTAACCCAGGTACGGCGACGTAATTTTCACACCTGACTCTCTGTATTTTTCAATAAGGCGATCACTTCTGACTAATGGATGATGAGTTTTATTTCCAAGCAAAATCTCGGGCCAATTAAAAAACACTGCTCGCAAGTTCGAAAACCTTTTGGCAAACTCAAACAAAAGCAGATTCATTTGGTGAACAGACGAAGCATTGTCGAGTCGCTTCGTTTTATTAAACCGAGATTTAATTCCGCCGTTAATCACAACCGAAAATATTTCTTGAATAGCTTTGATATCATGAAGCTGCTTCAGGTATTGTAGGCAATCGCTTACCCCCGCGTCAGGATCTTCTGATTTTTCTAAAATACTGGCCATCATTCGAACCTGCGTCGCCTGAATTCGGTCCTCGATGGACAAAGCTTCGTTGCTGAATGCTTCGGTGGCTTTTTCACGAGCGAGTTTGAACGACTCTATGGCAGAGAGATAGCGTGCCTTGGAATGTATTTTCAATGAATTGAAGCTGTTTATTAAAGACGTGACTTCGTTGATTTGAGAAAATGGAACAGTATCTTCAGAAGACGTAGCTCCAGCTGAGGTTGCTTGTTCGGTTGATTCTGATCCATTCTCGGATTCCTTAAACTGTTGTAGCGACTGATAAAGACGATTGATTCCTTCTTGAAGAAAACAAAGACTGCTCAGTAAATCCTTTCTCGCCAATCCATCCAACTTCCTCTTAATATCATCGAGTTCTCTCACGATCAAGCGTCGACATTCTTCGTCCGTGACGTCGCCATCGTTTAAACGTTCTGCAATTCTCTTGCGAGCCTTGTTCACTAAAAATCCAAATGTCAGCTTCAAAACTCCGCTAACGATCTCAGTCATCTTGAAATAAACGAAGCGTTCTTCAAATAAAACGTTATATTAACTGCTTGTGAAACTGTCACAAGATCAACACACCCTCTAATTTCATTCAAATTCAAACCAACTTATATATTGTCTCAAAAAATTCCGAACTTCGGGAGTGTTCGCTACTCCCTGCTGGGCATTTCAAAAATTGATTCTTTAGAGAGGGAATCACAGTTTTTATTGTAAGCAAACACTTAGTGTCTCAGATTATGATGTATTGTGTGCATATCAACTCAATATTGGTTTGATGTGCTCCTAAATGAGAGTGAACTAGAATATGTGTGTAAAAAAGTCGACTGTTTCTTACGAGTCCATCACAAGACTAGCACACCCATCCATCGCCCAGCAAGACGTCTAATTTCATTGAAATTTAAATTCAAACCATTTCACTGTCTTATACTCGAAAAATTTCAACCTTAGCAAAGTTTTGTTTCAAAAATTCTTCAGAGAAGGGGTCAAAGCTTTTGATATAAAAAAACTTTTGTTTGCCGATTTTTAACTTCTATGTTTCTTCAAAATACGATTTACTGTCTTGATATATTACATAATATGGGAAGGTCGGTGATATTATGATACACCAAACAGTTGGTCTTATGTAGTCTGAACATTGTTCTATACTGTAATTAAATTTGACTACCTTCATGCAACCTCATGCAACCTCACGCATGCAAAACTTTGCTCAACTCTCAATCTCGTTTCATCAAAATCTTGTTTAATCGATTTGTTTTGAATAAATATTTTAGTTGAAAGATGGGATGGCGAACGAGATGAGTCACTATCAGATAGGGATACAGATGGACACAGGAAGAGAAGGCGGGATATCTGGGACGAAGAGTATGACAGAGGGAAGGTCGGTGATATCATGATACACCATCCAGTTGGTCTTATGTAGTCTGAACATTGTTCTATACTGTAATTAAAGTTGACTACCTTTTTATATTACTATTCCCGTAGTTTAGTCTGATGAAATATCTTCAATTTGTAGTCATTATCTTTATTTTGTTCGTGCATGATGCAGACAATTGCCCTAATCGTCTTCCTCGGGTGATTTTATATTTTCAGGTGAAACGGACAAAGAATAGACACAAATATCGTGATTATTCGCATCACGGGGAGAGTTCATTTCAACGTGAATACGATAGAAGATTTCGAGTGAGTATTTAATGTATCTTTTCTACTCATCGCTAAAACCCTACTTGCAAGTTCGATGTGAGTTTTGCGTATAATTTTTGCGTATATGTGACTTTTGACAGATGTGAATGCGTAATTACTTACGAATGCTCTGATGTATAAGAGCTTTTATTTGAACATCAGTAACTAATTCACTCGTTCACATCTATCAAAAGAAGAAAATCGCTGCAAAAATCGCAAGTGTAAACGAACCTTTTAGCCTGTCACTTTGCAGCTGCTTTCATGTCGTTGAGAAGCCGTGAAATTGCCTCATTTGAAAGCGTTGTAAGAACGAGAACGCTGTCGTGGCACCACTAGTTATGCACACCTCTGATCTATTGTCTCGCGTGTGGAGTTTCTTTGTTTTGCGAGCGCGTCGTCGAGCTGGCCGCGTCTTGAATCTTAAACTCCCTACTGTGACGAGAAAGTCTTTATAAAGCTATTGTACCCCCCATATCCTGTCAAAATCGAAACCTAATTCAAACCAAATCGCCCTAAACTATTCTTTTTCCAGCGCCAATTTAAAACTGATGTGCGCTCCCAATAGTTAAAATATTTTTCTCAAATTTTAGCAGGAAAACCGACATTCCACGTCTTCAAGTGGTTGGCACAAGCGTAGCTATGATCGTCACTCGCGGCGTGATAGGCGATGATGTCATTTCATTTTTGGAATCAACTGGAAAAGAGTGTAGAAGCTGCCTCATGTTGGTACACTCCAGATCCAAAATAGGTTTTTATATTTAACTGTGCAATTTTCAAATGTATGGGAGTCGAAATAGGTGGGTGAGAATTGAGGGGGTGGGTGAGGCATTGTGTGTGAGGAGACCACTGAAGGTATTTTACAATTAAATTACAGAAACATTGTCAATGGTATTGTGTTTTTATTTAAACAATGGCTATAGTCTATTTTATCATTTCCAGCTATAGTTTTTTGTATACATTCTTGTTCCAACATCTGGTAAGCAGAAAGTTCTGGTACACAAGGTAACAAGCGATTTAAATTCTATTATAAAAGTTTTAAAAGCCCATCAGCTCTGGTGATGGTCAAGCAACTGGCTAAAATATATAATTAAGGATTGTTCAACAGTTCAGTGTTGCTTTTCCAGAGCTATAATTTTGCTTGAAACTTGTGTTTCACAAAAAAGTAAACTTTTTTATCTGAATTTACTGCATGTCTCTGAGAAAGTCATTCTGTATAAAATGTTACAAAATTGCCAATTCTTGAATTTGATGACTGACAATGAAAAACTGTTTATCAACAATACTCTACAATGTCCATGCCTCAATTACAAATTTGGGGAGTGTCTATTAATGATTTTTTTGATATGTCATTCATGTGATTTAAAATTACACTGATGTGATCATGTGAATGGTAAAATATTAATGGCTTATAGTGAACAAAAAGTCAATCCTCACAGGATGACAGTCACACACAGAGAGAGTTCAGTGATTTCAGAGAGTTATGAGTCATACAAGATTAAAAATAATTTCCCTGAACTCTTTGTATGTGATTGTCATGCTGTGGGAATTGATTTGACTAATTCAATGCATTTACTGCCTTGCCATTTGATCTATGCCGATAGTGCATTTTTTAAATATTTGCGTTCACGAAAATAAGTCCACTACAGTTGAAGAAAACTTATGCGCTGTTCCCAAACCAAAGCAACTGCACCATGGAGATTAGAAACTATCATAACGGAAGACCAAGACTCCAGATCAACATCGTCTTTCAGCTCTCCTGTTTCTGAGAAACTACAAAGATAACGTCCATCGTCAGTTAAAACCAGGATCCGTTTTGTGATGTAATTTATTGCAACAGAAGTACTAGATCCATATTTCTCAGGTATCATAACTTTGCGTTCCAACTCCCCATTCTCCGTGTAGATATAAAAACAAAATTTAAGATAATCTGTAGCAATTATTTTTGTTCCATTATTATCTAGAAACCGTATCATATTCACTCTGTGAGATAATTCTTTGAGATGAAAACTATTATGGACTTCAAATGAATTCGTCTTACATGAAGTTCCGACATGTAGAATTTGTAACCTTCGATCAAAAACGGCGATCATTTTGTCATTGTTTACTGCTATGGGTACGTCATAGCCATATAAAGGGTTGAGTTCAAAAGGCAACAGAGACTCAAGTTTTTTGTCTCCATGCTCATCAAATATCAACAATTTGTAAATCCATTGTTGATCATCGCTTTCTCGAAATGCCGTGATGACGTAAAGGTTATCTTCGGCATCGATATCCATCGCAGCAACCTTGCAACTTGGCAAATCATCTTGTTTGGAAGGATCAAATATTGTACGGGATTCTCCTGAGGGTTTCAATATTTCAACAGAATCATCTCTCGCTATTTTCACAACAATTTCTCTTTTGCTATTTACTACACAACGGGATTCACCAATTCTTTCAGAAAATGTGTAACCCAGGTACGGCGATGTAATTTCCGCACCAGACTCTTTGTATTTTTTAATTAGGCGATCACTCCCGAGTAATGGATGATGAGTTTTCTTTCCAAGCAAAATCCCGGGCCAATCAAAAAACACTGTTTGCAAATTCGAAAACCTTTTGGCAAACTTAAACAAAAGCAGATTCATTTGGTGAACAGACGAAGCATTGTTGAGTCGCTTCGTTTGATTAAACCGAGATTTAATTCCGCCGTCAATCACAACAGAAAATATTTCTTGAATAGCTTTGACATCATGAAGCTCCTTCAGGTATTCTAGGCAATCGTTTACCCCCGCGTCAGGATCTTCTGATTTTTCTAAAATTCTGGCCATCATTCGAACCTGCGTCGCTTGAATTCGGTCCTCGATGGACAAAGCTTCGTTGCAGAATGCTTCGGTGGCTTTTTCACGAGCGAGTTCGAAGGATTTCTTGGAAGACTCGAAGCGTTCCTTGGAATGTATTTTCAATGAATTGAAAGCGTTTATTAAAGACATAACCTCGTTGATTTTAGAAACAAGACCAGTTTCTTCAGAAGACGTAGCTCCAGCTGAAGTTGCTTGTTCGATCGATTCTGATCCATTCTCGGATTCCTTAAACTGCTGTAGCGACTGATAAAGCCCACTTATTCCTTCTCGAAGAAAACAAAAACTGCTCAGTAAATCCTTTCTCGCCAATCCATCCAACTTCCTCTTAATATCATCGAGTTCTCTCACGATCAAGCGTCGACATTCTTCGTCCGTGACGTCGCCATCGTTTAAACGTTCTGCAATTCTATTGCGAGCCTTGTTCACTAAAAATCCAAACGTCAGCTTCAAAACTCCGCTAACGATCTCAGTCATCTTGAAATAAACGAAGCGTTTTTCAAATAAAACGTTATATTAACTTCTTCTGAAACTGTCACAAGATCAACACACCCTCTAATTTCATTCAAGTTCAAACCAACTTATAATTATATATTGTCTCAAAAAATTCCGAACTTCGGGAGAGTTCGCTACTCCCTGCTGGGCATTTCAAAAACTGATTCTATAGAGAGGGAATCACAGTTTTTATTGGAAGCAAACACTTAGTGTCTCAGATTATGATGTATTGTGTGCATGTAAACTCAATATTGGTTTGATGTGCTCCTAAATGAATGTGAACTAGAATATGTGTGTAAAAAAGTCGAAATAAAGACTGTTTCTTACTGAGTCCATCACGAGACCAACACACCCATCCACCGCCCAGCAAGACGTCTAATTTCGTTCAAATTTAAATTCTAACGACTTCATTGTCTTATACTCGAAAAATTTCAACGTCAGCAAAGTTCTGTTTCAAAAATTTCAAAAATTCTTCCGAGAGGGGTTCCAAGTTTTTGATATAAAAAACTTTTGTTTGCCGATTTTTTACTTATATGTTTCTTCAAAATACGATGTACTGTCTGGATATCTTACACAAAATTAGTTGGCTGTGCTTCTAAATGAATATAGGAAGGTTGGTGATATTATGATACACCATCCAGTTGGTCTTATGTAGTCTGAACATTGTTCTATACTGTAATTAAATTTGACTACCTTTTTATATTACTATTTCCGTAGTTTAGTCTGATGAAATATCTTCAATTTGTAGTCAATATCTTTATTTTGTTCGTGCATGATGCAGGCAATTGCCCTAATCGTCTTCCTCGGGTGATTTTGTATTTTCAGGTGAAACAGACAAAAAATAGACACAAATATCGTGATTATTCGCATCACGGGGAGAATTCGTTTCAACGTGAATACGATAGAAGATTTCGAGTGAGTATTTGATGCATCTTTTCTACTCATCGCAAAAACCCTACTTGCAAGTTCGATGTGAGCTTTGCATATAATTCTTGCGTATACGTACTGACTTTTGATAGATGTGAATGCGTAATTACTCACGAATGCTCTGATGTATATGAGCTTTTATTTGAACATCAGTAACTAATTCACTCGTTCACATCTATGAAAAGAAGAAAATCGCAGCAAAAATCCCAAGTGTAAACGAGCCCTTTAGCCTATCACTTTGCAGCGGCTTTCATGTCGTTGAGAAGCCGTGAAATTGCCTCATTTGAAAGCGTTGTAAGAACGAGAACGCTGTCGTGGTACCACAAGTTATGCACACCTCTGACCTATTGTCTTGTGTGTGGAGTTTCTTTGTTTTGCGAGCGCGTCGTCGAGCTGGCCGCGTCTTGAATCTTAAACTCCCTACTGTGACGAGAAAGTCTTTATAAAGCTATTGTACCGCTCATATCCTGTCAAAATCGAAACCTAATTCAAACTAAATCGCCCTAAACTATTCTTTTTCCAGCTCCAATTTAAAACTGATGTGCGCTCGCAATGATTCTAATATTTTTCTCAAATTTTAGCAGGAAAACCGACATTCCACGTCTTCAAGTGGTTGGCACAAGCGTAGCTATGATCGTCACTCACGGCGTGATAGGCGATGATGTTATTTCATTTCTGGAATCAACTGGAAAAAACTGAAGAAGCTGCCTCATGTTGGTACCGTCCACATCCAAAATGGGTTTTTATATTCAACTGTGCAATTTTCAAATGTATGGGAGTCGAAATAGGTGGGTGAGAATAGAGGGGGTGGGTGAGGCATTGTGTGTGAGGAGACCACTGGAGGTATTTTACAATTAAATTACAGAAACATTGTCAATGGTATTGTATTTTTATTTAAACAATGGCTATAGTCTATTTTATCATTTCTAGCTATAGTTTTTCCTATACATTCTTGTTCCAACATCTGGTAAGCAGAAAGTTCTGGTACACAAGGTATCCAGTGATTTAAATTCTATTATAAAAGTTTTAAAAGCTCATCAACTATGGTGATGGTCAAGCAACTGGCTAAAATATATAATTAAGGATTGTTCAACAGTTCAGTGTTTCTTTTCCAGAGCTATAATTTTGCTTGAAACTTGTGTTTCACAAAAAAATAAACTTTTTTATCTTATTTTACTGCATGTCTATGAGAAAGTCATTCTGTATAAAATGTTACAAAATTGGCAATTCGAGAATTTGATGACTGACAATGAAAAACTGTTTATCAACAATACTCTACAATGTCCATGCCTCAATTACAAATTTGGGGAGTGTCTATTAATGATTTTTTTGATATGTCATGCATGTGATCTAAAATTACACTGATGTGATCATGTGAATGGTAAAATATTAATGGCTTATAGTGAGCAAAAAGTCAATCCTCACAAGATGACAGTCACACACAGAGAGAGTTCAGTGATTTCAGAAAGTTATGAGTCATACAAGATTAAAAATAATTTCTCTGAACTCTTTGTATGTGATTGTCATGCTGTGGGAATTGATTTGACTAATTCCAGTTTTACTTACCATGCATTTACTGCATTGCCATTTGATCTATGCCATTTGATCTAGTGCATTTTTTAATATTTGCCTTCATGAAAATAAGTCCACTACAGTTGAAGAAAAGTTACGAGCTGTTCCCAAACCAAAGTAACCGCACCATGGAGATTAGAAATAATACTAGAAGTAGACAAAGACCCCAGATCAAAATTGTCTTTCAGTTCTCCTGTTTCTGAGAAACTACAAAGATAACGTCCACCGTCAGTTAAAACCAGGATCCGTTTTGTGATGTAATTTATCGCAACAGAATTAATATATCCATATTTTTCAGGTATCATAACTTTGCGTTCCAACTCCCCGTTCTCCGTGTAAATATAAAAAGAAGATTGAAGATAATAACCTGCAGCAATTATTTTTGTTCCATTATTATCTAGAAACCGTATCATATTCACAGATAATTCTTTGAGATGAAAACTATTATGGACTTCAAATGAATTTGTCTTCCATGAAGTTCCTACATGTAGAATTTGTTTCTTTCCATCAAGAACGGCGATCATTTTATCATTGTTTACTGCTATGGATATAACATGATATCCATATACTGAGTTGTTTTTAAAAGGCAACAGAGACTCGAGTTTTTTGCATCCATGCTCATCAAATATCAACAACTTGTAACTCCATAGTTGATCATTGCTTTCTTGAAATCTCGTGATGACGTAAAGGTTATCTTCGGCATCGATATCCATCGCAGCAACCTCGCGACGCGGCAAATCCTCTCGTTTGGAAGGATCAAATATTGTACGGGATTCGCCTGAGGGTTTCAAAATTTGAACACAATCATCTCTCGCTATTATGGCAACAATTTCTCTTTTGCTATTTACAACACAACGATATCCATCAATACGTTCGGAAAATGTGTAACCCAGGTACGGCGACGTAATTTCCACACCAGACTCTTTGTATTTTTCAATAAGGCGATCACTTCCGACTAATGGATGATGAGTTTTCTTTCCAAGCAAAATCATGGGCCAATCAAAAAACACTGTTCGTAAGTTCGAAAACCTTCTGGCAAACTCAAACAAAAGCAGATTCATTTGATGAACAGACGAAGCATTGTCGAGTCGCTTCGTTTTATTAAACCGAGATTTAATTCCGCCGTCAATCACAACAGAAAATATTTCTTGAATAGCTTTGATATCATGAAGCTGCTTCAGGTATTGTAGGCAATCGCTTACCCCCGCGTCAGGATCTTCTGATTTTTCTAAAATTCTGCCCATCATTCGAACCTGCGACGCTTGAATTCGGTCCTCGATGGACAAAGCTTCATTGCTGAATGCTTCGGTTGCTTTTTCACGAGCGAGTTCGAAGGATTTCTTGGAAGACTCGAAGCGTTCCTTGGAATGTATTTTTAATGAATTGAAGGCGTTTATCAAAGACGTGACCTCGTTGATTTGAGAAACAGGAACAACTTCCCGAGAAGACGTAGCTCCAGCTGAGGTTGCTTGTTCGGTCGATTCTGATCCATTCTCGAATGCCTTAAACTGTTGTAGCGACTGATAAAGACCATTGATTCCTTCTTGGAGAAAATAAAGACTGCTCAGTAAATCCTTTCTCGCTAATCCATCCAACTTCCTCTTAATCTCATCGAGTTCTGTCACGATCAAGCGTCGACATTCTTCGTCCGTGACGTCGCCATCGTTTAAACGTTCTGAAATTTTACTGCGAGCCTTGTTCACTAAAAATCCAATCGTCAGCTTCAAAACTCCGCTAACGATCTCAGTCATCTTGAAATAAACGAAGCGTTCTTCAAATAAAACGTTATAAATACTTGCAACGTCACAAGATCAACACAACACATGAAATATCCGGTGATTTATTTGCATATATGCATGATAATTGCATATCTTTGCCTGAAACAAAAATTAATTATACTCCGAAACGAAGGCCCTGAGCTCGAAACGTCGAGAAGTAGAAATATTTTCGGCTGTTTTAGGCAGTTGTTATACCACATTTGATACTTAGATCGCAAAGTAGACCATAGTGGGAAAGGTCATTAACTGCATTAGTAATAATTTTAGCCGTAGTAATCTGAGACAATCAAAATATCAAAATTACATTCAACTACTGTTTTTATCCTATGATCGAAACAAATATTCCCGCGATAAATCGCCTTTATGCTAATATTAGGTTTGCGAATCTCTTTCTCCGAAAGTGTATTTTTGACTTCTTAGAAAGATTTTTAGAAATAATGTTAATAACATGTTGTTTAAGTACAAACCAGTGATGATATCTATTTTCATTCAGATTCGAATTCAAACAACTTTTTTTAACAAATTCCAGCGTCAGGAAAGTTCTTGGCTTCCTTCGCATTTCATGTCTTTGGAGAGGGGGTGACAATTTTTAATATATATTAAAAAACGTTTGCTTAATTGCTATGTGTCTTCAGAATACGATGCACTGTCTGCGTATCTAACACAAATTATTTGGCCGTTCTTCTAAATGATTATGAACTACAGTTTGTGTAAAAAAAGTCGAAAAAAGGAGAAAATGATTATAAACCAGACACAGTACTAAAATGCGGTGCCCGCAATGCTTGTCTAGAAATAAAACGTCCGCTCATTTCTAACGACATCACCAACTTACATTCTCCTGTCGGCCGCAGCCTGGTTGGTTGGTACATTAAGGTCAAAATTGCGCCGTTTTAAAATCTTCAGAAATAAAATATTTAGGCTAAAAATACTATCTAAGAATACTATCAAAATGAAGAGAAACGTGAGACGAATAAACTGGCGTAGAGCCGGAAACTAGAAAAGCAACGATACAGAAGTCAAGGATTAAGCGTATTGCATTTTTAATTTGTTTAATAATTTTGAGCGATTTGTCATAAAGTTCGCTTATTGAAACTATACTTTAAAACCTTCGAAATAGAATATATTTGGCTCAAAGTACTATAAAATAAATCGCAATGTAAGACCGATCCACTTATTTAAGGACGAAAATTAAAAGAGAAAACCAACGATATGAAAGATATCAAAGACCAAACTTACTATTACTAGTAAAGTATAGCATAGTAATTTTGAGCGATTTGTCAACAATTCAATTTCGTTTGTCTTTCAAACGTCAAAAAACGCTGCGAATACTCTTGTTTAGTAATATATTTAAGACCTGTAAGTATAATTTCTTACGCTGAATCGAATGGTGGTATTTTTGTCCTTCTTGGGTGCATAAAAGCAGAGATACACGCAATTATCAGAGTTTGAGATTGAAATTGAAAAAAGAACGTTCCTCTACAAAAGGAATTTGCCAAACGTACAACAAGATTAATAGTAATAATTAGGAAAAAATTCCAAGCATTCCAAGTATGTGCAAGGAATTTTTACTTGGCGATTAAGGAAACGTATTGATGCGAACAAACAAACTCACAGGCAGAATATAATGCGGTGCCAAACTTGACGCGGGCACCGCAATATTTTGTAGCAGAAAATGTGTAAGCCTTGTACGCAGCGCGTCCCTATTTTTTTACACGTGTCAGAAACAATGAGAGCGAGGCTGTGATTGTTCCCAACATGAACAAAATGGAAATTTCTGTATGAAATATTTGAAAACATTTGACTTTATTTTACAAGTTTTACCACAATGAAGAGCTTGTTTTTGCCGTTTTTGTTTGGTTTACTTGTGTCCGCGTTCTTCTCCGTCTCGCGTAGTTCAAACACGGAGAAAAACAGTCCGTTTGGCATGGGAAGGGTGAACATAGTTTGGCAAAAGGCGAAGCAGTTGTTGTTATCACAAGAGAAGTTGGACGCGTTGTACGTTGAGCTGGAGCGGCAAGACAAAGACGAGATAAAATGGAAACATCAGAAACAAGATGGGAAGGATAATCTCGGCGAAGCTGAGGCGATTATCAGACGGAATTTGATGAATATTATGGAAAGGTACGGGTTGTTGGGTGCTGGGGAGGAAGGCAGGGATCATATTGAGACGAATCGGGCACACGACTCGTCGTTCAAGAAAGACGAGAGGCTAGAGAAATTGTGGGAACACGCCAAAAATGAAGGTAAACAACAGAGTTGTTTTGGATCTAGTTAATATATACTCTACACTATATTCATTGATCATCCACAATCTAGGTACCCCTTACCTCTACACTAGTGATTCATTCATCACCCACAATCCACCCCATACCTCTCACCCACTCACCTCCCCCTCACTCAGACCTTATCATAGTCCCAAGAATGTACTAAATTTCAAATTTAACTTCTCCGCAGCACAATTTAGCAAAGAAGAATTAGAAAAGCTACGCGAGGAACTAACTCACCATCACGATAAATGGAAGCAGTACAGGGATTTGGTTGGAATTGTTTCTGCACATAAAGACAGACAGAATAACATTGTTGGAAAGAACATACCACATGAGGAAGCTTTCTCAAAGCTTCAAGAGGAAATGAACATGAAGTGTAGAGAAGTGGACAGCAGCTACTGTCGATTAAAAAAGAAAGTTTTGTCTGGAGCTCCCAATGAAGAATTTCAAGACCATCGTGTCAGAGATTTGTGGAAAAGAGCCCAGGTTCAAGGGTACTCGGAGGAAGAGCTTGACATCATGAAAGTATGTTTTCAATGGCCTTTGCATAATAGACCAATTTGTGAACTAGTTAACAAGAAGGAAATAAATCACCACAGCTAAAAAGAGCATACAAAAATTAGTATAATCACCATGTTTGGCTGCAAAATGCCTAGTAGTAAGGTAAATATAGCCATGCAAAATTTTGTATACTTTTTTTACTTGAAGCATGTAACTAAATTAGTTGTGTACGGTAACTAAAAAAGTATACAAAATTCCCATATTTGCATGGCTATATTTTCCACACTTTATACAATATTTCACAGTCAAACTTGGCAATTTTACTAAGTTTAGTTTGCACTTTTCAGAATTTCCTTTTTTGTTGCCTAAATCAAAAGTTGGTCTAGCAAAATCTCAAACATGTTTGTTCTTGGCTTGTTGTCTCAAGCATTTGGTTTATATTTCAGGAAGAATTACGGCATTTTGATAACAGGATAGCAAAGCATGATGACCTTCAAGAACAGCTTGATGTTGCAGAGGATATGCTTAACAATGGCCAGGATCACATTAAACCCAAGTTTGAAAAGTTGACTGAAAAAGTGAACGAACACAGAGAATATGTAAGAAACTGGGTCTATGTATGTTACTGTCATTGCAATGGAAGTGTTTGTATTACGGATCTCACCGAACTCTGGTGAGACATTAAAAATTTGTATTGCAAACACACCCACAAACATTCACGACCATACCTACAATTATAACAGTTTATAGCCGCCTTATTATTGAGCTTAAGCAAGTGATATTTTTGATAACACAAACAGCATGAGACTGGGTCAAGGATTGTGATTAGTGAAAAACAAAAACTTTACTTCCGGTCAACCTAAACGTCACTTGCAATGTATGTGTGGTTGCGAATGTTTGTGGACGTGAATGGCATAGAAATTTTTGATACATCACTGGAGTTTGGTGAGATCCGTAATAAAATATTTGTTACCTGAAGTTGTCAACACATTTGTTTTAAAATTGCTGAACTAATTGTTTACTGGAATACTTGTTCATAATTGGTAAAAACCATTGGTCGACTTGCACATACAGAAATTAGATCAATTTTTCAACAAATGTCTTCATCAACTTAGGTACTGTACTGATGAAATACTATTTCTGTCACAATGAGAGTAAATTGTTAGCAATATAACACCACTGACTAACAGCTGGTGATCATTAGATGTTTATAACTATGATTGTTGTCTTCAGATAAAGAAGTTACACACAACACTGGAAAAAAGAATAGGACCTCGTAATGAGTTGTGATTGAAATTACTTTCAAGAAGTGATGGTCAGATACTAAAGTATGGTGTATGCATATCATATGGTATATGGATTAAATTCTTGTGAGTGTAATGCTTGGAAGATGGTTGAATTTGATGAATATTATGGAAAGGTACGGGTTGTTGGGTGCTGGGGAGGAAGGCCAGGATCATATTGAGACAAATCGGGCACACGACTCGTCGTTCAAGAAAGACGAGAGGCTAGAGAAATTGTGGGAACACGCCAAAAATGAAGGTAAACAACAGAGTTGTTATGAATCTAGTTAATATATACTCTACACTATTCATTGATCACCCACAATCTACCCCTTACCTCTACACTATTCATTGATCACCCACAATCTACCCCTTACCTTTCACCCACTCACCTCCCCCTTTTAGCCTATCACTTTGCAGCTGCTTTCATGTCGTTGAGAAGCAGTGAAATTGTCTCATTTGAAAGCATTGTAAGAACGAGAACGCTGTCGTGGTACCACTAGTTATGCACACCTCTGACCTATTGTCTCGTGTGTGTAGTTTCTTTGTTTTGCGAGCGCGTTGTCGAGCTGGCCGCGTCTTGAATCTTAAACTTCCTACTGTGACGAGAAAGTCTTTGTATAAAAGCTATTGTATCGGTCATATCCTGTCAAAATCGAAGCCTAATTCAAACCAAATCGCCCTAAACTATTCTTTTTCCAACGCCAATTTAAAACTGATGTGCGCTCGCTATGATTCTAATATTTTTCTCAAATTTTAGCAGGAAAACCGACATTCCACGTCTTCAAGCGGTTGGCACAAGCGTAGCTATGATCGTCACTCGCGGCGTGATAGGCCATGATGTCATTTCATTTCTGGAATCGACTGGAAAGACTGAAGAAGCTGCCTCATGTTGGTACAGTCCAGATCCAAAATGGGTTTTTATATTCAACTGTGCAACTTTCAAATGTATGGGAGTCAAAATAGGTGCGTGAGAATTGAGGGGGTGGGTGATCATGTGAATGGTAAAATCTTACTGGCTTATAGTGAACAAAAAGTCAATCCTCACAGGATGACAGTCACACACAGAGAGAGTTCAGTGATTTCAAAGAGTTATGAGTCATACAAGATTAAAAATAATTTCTCTGAACTCTTTGTATGTGATTGTCATCCTGTGGGAATTGGTTTGACTAATTCAAGTTTTATTTACCATGCATTTATTGCATTGTCATTTGATCTATGCCCATAGTGCATTTTTTTAATATTTGCCTTTTATATGAAAATAAGTCCACTACAATTGAAGAAAAGTTACGCGCTGTTTCGAAACCAAAGCAACTGCACCATTAGGATTAGAAATAATCTCAACGAAGGACGAAGACTCCAGATCAACATCGTCTTTCAATTCTCCTGTTTCTGAGAAACTACAAAGATGTTCACGGTTAGTTAAAACCAGGATCCGTTTTGTGATGTAATTTATCGCAACAGAATAAATATATCCATATTTTTGAGGTATCATAACTTTGCGTTTCAACTCGCCGTTCTCCCTGTAGATATAAAAACAATCCTCAAAATAGATTGCAGCAATTATTTTTCTTCCATTATTATCTAAAAACCGTATCATATTCCCTATGTCAGATAATTCTTTGAGATGAAAACTATTTTGGACTTCAAATGAATTCGTCTTACATGAAGTTCCGTCATGTAGAATTTGTTTCGCTCGATCAAAAACGGCGATCATTTTGTCATTGTTTACTGCTATGGGTACGTCATATGCATATATATCTACTTTCATGTGTTGAAAAGGCAACAGAGACTCAAGTTTTTTCTCTCCATGCTCATCAAATATCAACAACTTGTAACTCCATAGTTGATCATCGCTTTCTCGAAATCTCGTGATGACGTAAAGGTTATCTTCGACATCGATATCCATCGCAACAACCTTGCAACTTGGCAAATCCTCTTGTTTGGAAGGATCAAATATTGTACGGGATTCTCCTGAGGGTTTCAAAATTTGAACAGAATCATTTCTCGCTATTTTCGCAACAATTTCTCTTTTGCTATTTACAACACAACGAGATTCATCAATATTTTTGGAAAATGTGTAACCCAGGTTCGGCGACGTAATTTCCACACCAGACTCTCTGTATTTTTCAATAAGGCGATCACTCCTGACTAATGGATGATGAGTTTTCTTCCCAAGCAAAATCTTGGGCCAATCAAAAAACACTGTTTGCAAGTTCGAAAACCTTCTGGCAAACTCAAACAAAAACAGATTCATTTGGTGAACAGACGAAGCATTGTTGAGTCGCTTCGTTTTATTAAACCGAGATTTAATTCCGCCGTCAATCACAACAGAGAATATTTCTTGAATAGCTTTGATATCATGAAGCTGCTTCAGGTATTGTAGGCAATCGCTTACCCCGGCGTCAGGATCTTCTGATTTTTCTAAAATTCTGGCCATCATTCGAACCTGCGACGCTTGAATTCGGTCCTCGATGGACAAAGCTTCGTTGCTAAATGCTTCGGTGGCTTTTTCACGAGCAAGTTTGAACGATTCTATGGCAGAAAGATAGCGTTTCTTGGAATGCATTTCCAATGATTTGAAGGCGTTTGTTAAAGACATAACCTCGTTGATTTGAGAAACAAGACCAACTTCCTCAGAAGACGTAGCTCCAGCTGAGGTTGCTTGTTCGGTCGTTTCTGATCCATTCTCGGATTCCTTAAACTGTTGTAGCGACTGATAAAGACCATTGGTTCCTTCTTGAAGAAAACATAAACTGCTCATTAAATCCTTTCTCGCCAATCCATCCAACTTCCTCTTAATATCATCGAGTTCTCTCACGATCAAGCGTCGACATTCTTCGTCCGTGACGTCGCCATCGTTTAAACGTTCTGCAATTCTACTGCGAGCCTTGTTCACTAAAAATCCAAACGTCAGCTTCAAAACTCCGCTAACGATCTCAGTCATCTTGAAATAAACGAAGCGTTCTTCAAACAAGATCAACACACCCTCTAATTTCATTCAAATTCAAACCAACTTATATATTGTCTCAAAAAATTCCGAACTTCGGGAGAGTTCGCTACTCCCTGCTGGGCATTTCAAAAACTGATTCTTTAGAAAGGGAATCACAGTTTTTATTGTAAGCAAACGCTTAGTGTCTCAGATTATGATGTATTGTGTGCATATCAACTCAACATTCATTTGATGTGCTCCAAAATGAAAATGAACTAGAATATGTGTGTAAAAGTCGAAATAAAGACTGTTTCTTACGAGTCAATCAGTAACAATCACAAGACCAATACACCCATCCATCGCCCAGCAAGACGTCTAATTTCATTCAAATTTAAATCCAAACCATTGTCTTATACTCGAAAAATTTCAACGTTAGCAAAGTTCTGTTTCAAAAATTTCAAAAATTCTTCAGAGATGGGGACAAAGTTTTTGATATAAAAAACTTTTGTTTGCCAATTTTCAACTTCTATGTTTCTGCAAAATACAATGTACAGTCTGGATATCTTACACAAAATTAGTTGGCCGTGCTTCTAAATGAATATGGGAAGGTCGGTGATATTATGATACACCATCCAGTTGGTCTTATGTAGTCTGAACATTGTTCTATACTGTAATTAAATTTGACTACCTTTTTATATTACTATTCCCGTAGTTTAGTCTGATGAAATATCGTCAATTTGTAGTCAATATCTTTATTTTGTTCGTGCATGATGCAGGCAATTGCCCTAATCGTCTTCCTCGGGTGATTTTGTATTTTCAGGTGAAACGGACAAAGAATAGACACAAATATCGTGATTATTCGCATCACGGGGAGAGTTCGTTTCAACGTGAATACGATAGAAGATTTCGAGTGAGTATTTGATATATCTTTTCTACTCATCGCAAAAACCCTACTTGCAAGTTGGATGTGAGTTTTGCGTATAATTTTTGCGTATATCTGACTTTTGACAGATGTGAATGCGTAATTACTCACGAATGCTCTGATGTATAAGAGCTTTTATTTGAACATCAGTAACTAATTCACTCGTTCACATCTATCAAAAGAAGAAAATCGCAGCAAAAATCGCAAGTGTAAACGAGCATTGAGGCATTGTGTGTGAGGAGACCACTGGAGGTATTTTACAATTAAATTACAGAAACATTGTCAATGGTATTGTATTTTTATTTAAACAATGGCTATGGTCTATTTTATCATTTCCAGCTATAGTTTTTGCTATACATTCTTGTTCCAACATCTGGTAAGCAGAAAGTTCTGGTACACAAGGTATCAAGTGATTTCATTTCTATTATAAAAATTTTAAAAGCTCATCAGCTATGATGATGGTCAAGCAACTGGCTAAATATATATGATTAAGGATTGTTCAACAGTTCAGTGTTGCTTTTCCAGAGCTATAATTTTGCTTGAAACTTGTGTTTCACAAAAAATAAACTTTTTTATCTTATTTTACTGCATGTCTATGAGAAAGTCATTCTGTATAAAATGTTACAAAATTGCCAATTCTTGAATTTGATGACTGACAATGAAAAACTGTTTATCAACAATACTCTACAATGTCCATGCCTCAATTACAAATTTGGGGAGTGCCTATTAATGATTTTTTTGATATGTCATGCATGTGATTTAAAATTACACTGATGTGATCATGTAAATGGTAAAATATTAATGGTTTATAGTGAACAAAAAGTCAATCCTCACAGGATGACAGTCACACACAGAGAGAGTTCTGTGATTTCAGAGAGTTAATATCAGTCCTACAAGATTAAAAATAATTACTCTGAACTCTTTGTATGTGATTGTCATCCTGTGGGAATTGATTTGACTAATTCAAGTTTTATTTACCATGCATTTATTGCATTGCCATTTGATCTATGCCCATAGGCCATAGTGCATTTTTTAACATTTGCCTTCATGAAAATAAGTCCACTACAGTTGAAGGAATGTTACGTGCTGTTCCCAAACCAAAGCAACTGCACCATGGAGATTAGAAATAATCTGAACGAAGGACAAAGACTCCAGATCAACATCGTCTTTCAGCACTCCTGTTTCTGAGAAACTACAAAGATAACGTCCAAAGTCTGTTGAAACCAGGATCCGTTTTGTGATGTAATTTATCGCAACAGAATCAATAGATCCATATTTTTTAGGTATCATAACTTTGCGTTCCAACTCCCCGTTCTCCGTGTAGATATAAAAACAATCTTCCCAATAACCTGCAGTAATTATTTTTGTTCTATTATTATCTAGAAACCGTATCATATTCGCTCTGTCAGATAATTCTTTGAGATGAGAACTATTATGGACTTCAAATGAATTCGTCTTACAAGAAGTTCCGACCTGTAGAATTTGTTTCTCTCGATCAAAAACGGCGATCATTTTGTCATTGTTTACTGCTATGGGTACAACAGATCCAATTATATCTGTATAGGCTTTCATGTGTTTAAAAGGTAACAGAGACTCAAGTTTTTTCTCTCCATGCTCATCAAATATCAACAACTTGTAACTCCATGATTGATCATCGCTTTCTTGCGTGATGAGGTAAAGGTTATCTTCGGCATCGATATCCATCCCAACAACCTTGCAACTTGGCAAATCTTCTTGTTTGGAAGGATCAAATATTGTACGGGATTCTCCTGAGGGATGCAAAATTTTAACAGAATTATGTATCTCTATTCTCGCAACAATTTCTCTTTTGCTATTTACAACACAGCAAGATCGATCAATACTTTCGGTGGTTTTGGAAAATGTGTAACCCAGGTACGGCGACGTAATTTTCACACCAGACTCTCTGTATTTTTCAATAAGGCGATCACTCCGGACTATTGGATGATGAGTTTTCTTTCCAAGCAAAATCTCGGGCCAATTAAAAAACACTGTTTGCAAGTTCGAAAACCTTTTGGCGAATTCAAACAAAAGCAGATTCATTTGATGAACTGACGAAGCATTGTTGAGTCGCTTTGTTTTATTAAACCGAGATTTAATTCCGTCGTCAATCACGACAGAAAATATTTCTTGAATAGCTTTGATATCATGAAGCTCCTTCAGGTATTGTTGGCAATCGCGTACCCCGGCGTCAGGATCTTCTGATTTTTCGCAAATCCTGGCCATCATTCGAACCTGCGTCGCTTGAATTCGGTCCTCGATGGACAAAGCTTCGTTGCTGAATGCTTCGGTTGCTTTTTCACGAGCGAGTTTGAACGACTCTATGGCAGAGAGATAGCGTTCCTTGGAATGTATTTTCAACGAATTGAAGGCGTTTATCAAAGACGTGACCTCGTTAATTTGAGAAACAGGAACAACTTCCCGAAAAGACGTAGCTCCAGCTGAGGTTGCTTGTTCGGTTGATTCTGATCCATTGTCGGACGCATTAAACTGTTGTAGCGACTGGTAAAGACCATTGATTCCTTCCTGAAGAAAACAAAAACTGCTCAGTAAATCCTTTTTCGCTAATCCATCCAGCTTCGTCTTAATATTATCGAGTTCTCTCACGATCAAGCGTCGACATTCTTCGTCCCTGACGTCGCCATCGTTTAAACGTTCTGAGATTTCACTGCGAGCCTTGTCCACTAAAAATCCAAATGTCAGCTTCAAAACTCTGGTAACGATCTCAGTCATCTTGAAATAAACGGAGCGTTCTTCAAATAAAACGTTATATTAACTGCTTGTTAAACTGTCAAAAGATCAACACACCCTCTAATTTCACTCAAATTTAAACCAACTTATATTTTGTCTCAAAAAATTCCGAACTTCTGGATAGTTCGCTACTCCCTGCTGGGCATTTCAAAAACTGATTCTTTAGAGAGGGAATCACAGTTTTTATTGTAAGCAAACGCTTAGTGTCTCAGATTATGATGTATTGTGTGCATATCAACTCAATATTGGTTTGATGTGCTCCTAATGAATATTGAACTAGAATATGTGTGTAAAAAAAGTTGAAATAAAGACTGTTTCTTACGAATCCATCACGAGACCAACACACCCACCCACCGCCCAGGAAGACGTTTAATTTCATTCAAATTTAAATTCAAACGACTTCATTGTCTTGTACTCGAAAAATTTCCGCGTCAGCAAAGTTCTGTTTCAAAAATTTCAAAAATTCTTGAGAGAGGGGTTCAAAGTTTTTGATATAAAAAACTTTTGTTTCCCGATTTCAAACTTCTATGTTTCAGTCTTCAAAATACGATTTACTGTCTGGATATATCTTACACAAAATTAGTTAGCCGTGCTTCTAAATGAATATGGGAAGGTTGGTGATATTATGACACACCACCCAGTTGGTCTTATGTAGTCTGAACATTGTTCTATACTGTAATTAAAGTTGACTACCTTTTTATATTACTATTCCCGTAGTTTAGTCTGATGAAATATCTTCAATTTGTAGTCAATATCTTTATTTTGTTCGTGCATGATGCAGGCAATTGCCCTAATCGTCTTCCTCGGGTGATTTTGTATTTTCAGGTGAAACGGACAAAGAATAGACACAAATATCGTGATTATTCGCATCACGGGGAGAGTTCGTTTCAACGTGAATATGATAGAAGATTTCGAGTGAAAACCCTACTTGCAAGTTCGATGTAAGTTTTGCATATAATTTTTGCGTATATATGTGACTTTTGATAGATGTGAATGCGTAATTACTTACGAATGCTCTGATGTATAAGAGCTTTTATTTGAACATCAGTAACTAATTCACTCGTTCACATCTATCAAAAGAAAAAAATCGCTGCAAAAATCCCAAGTGTAAACGAGTCCTTTAGCCTATCACTTTGCAGCTGCTTTCATGTCGTTGAGAAGCCGTGAAATTGCCTCATTTGAAAGCGTTGTAAGAACGAGAACGCTGTCGTGGCACCACAAGTTATGCACACCTCTGACCTATTGTCTCGTGTGTGGAGTTTCTTTGTTTTGCGAGCGCGTCGTCGAGCTGGCCGCGTCTTGAATCTTAAACTCCCTACTGTGACGAGAAAGTCTTTATAAAGCTATTGTATCCCTCATATCCTGTCAAAATCGAAACCTAATTCAAACCAAATCGCCCTAAACTATTCTTTTCCAGCGCCAATTTAAAACTGATGTGCGCTCGCAATGGTTAAAATATTTTTCTCAAATTTTAGCAGGAAAACCGACATTCCACGTCTTCAAGTGGTTGGCACAAGCGTAGCTATGATCGTCACTCGCGGCGCGATAGGCGATGATGTCATTTCATTTCTGGAATTGACTGGAAAAGACTGAAGAAGCTGCCTCATGTTGGTACAGTCCAGATCCAAAATGGGTTTTTATATTTTACTGTGCAATTTCAAATGTATGGGAGTCGAAATAGGTGGGTGAGAATTGAGAGGGTGGGTGAGGCATTGTGTGTGAGGAGACCACTAGAGGTATTTTACAATTAAATTACAGAAACATTGTCAATGGTATTGTATTTTTATATAAACAATGGCTATAGTCTATTTTATCATTTAGAGCTATAGTTTTTTGTATACATTCTTGTTCCAACATCTGGTAAGCAGAAAGTTCTGGTACACAAGGTATCAAGTGATTTTGATTCTATTATAAAAGTTTTAAAAGCTCATTAACTATGGTGATGGTCAAGCAATTGGCTAAAATATATAATTAAGGATTGTTCAACAGTTCAGTGTTTCTTTTCCAGAGCTATAATTTTGCTTGAAACTTGTGTTTCACAAAAAAATAAACATTTTTATCTTATTTTACTGCATGTCTATGAGAAAGTCATTCTGTATAAAATGTTACAAAATTGGCAATTCTTGAATTTGATGACTGACAATGAAAAACTGTTTATCAACAATACTCTACAATGTCCATGCCCCAATTACAAATTTGGGGAGTGTCTATTTATGATTTTTATGATATGTCATGCATGTTATTTAAAATTACACTGATGTGATCATGTGCATGGTAGAATATTAATGGCTTATAGTGAACAAAAAGTCAATCCTCACAGGATGACAGTCACACACAGAGAGAGTTCAGTGATTTCAGAGAGTTATGAGTCATACAAGATTAAAAATACTTTCTCTGAACTCTTTTTATGTTATTGTCATCCTGTGGGAATTGATTTGACTAATTCAAGTTTTATTTAGCATGCATTTATTGCATTGCCATTTGATCTATGCCCATAGTGTATTTTTTAATATTTGCCTTCATGAAAATAAGTCTACTACAGTTAAAGAAATGTTACGCGCTGCTCCCAAACCAAAGCAACTGCACCATGGAGATTAGAAATAATCTTAACGTATGACGAAGACTCCAGATTAACATCGTCTTTCAGCTCTCCTGTTTCTGAGAAACTACAAAGATAACGTCCATCGTCAGTTAAAACCAGGATCCGTTTTGTGATGTAATTTATTGCAACAGAATTAATATATCCATATTTTTCAGGTATCAAAACTTTGCGTTCCAACTCGCCGTTCTCCGTGTAGATATAAAAACAATCTTCACATAAACCTGCAGCAATTATTTTTGTTCCATTATTATCTAGAAACCGTATCATATTCACATCGTCAGATAATTCTTTGAGATGAAAACTATTATGGACTTCAAATGAATTCGTCTTACATGAAGTTCCGACATGTAGAATTTTTTTCTTTCGATCAAAAACGGCGATCCTTTTGTCATTGTTTACTGCTATGGGTACAAAACCTAAATAGTAGTGTTTAAAAGGCAACAAAGACTCAAGTTTTTTCTCTCCATGCTCATCAAATATCAACAACTTGTAACCCGATAGTTGATCATCGCTTTCTCGAAAACTCGCGATGACGTAAAGGTTATCTTCGGCATCGATATCCATCGCAACAACCTTGCAACTTGGCAAATCCTCTTGTTTGAAAGGATCAAATATTGTACAGGATTCTCCTGAGGGATTCAATATTTGAACAGAATCACCTCTCTCTATTTTCGCAACAATTTCTTTTTTGCTATTTACAACACAACGAGATGGATCAATACTTTCGGAAAATGTGTAACCCAGGTACGGCGACGTAATTTCCACACCAGACTCTTTGTATTTTTCAATAAGGCGATCACTCCTGACTAAAGGGTGATGAGTTTTCTTTCCAAGCAAAATCTTGGGCCAATTAAAAAACGCTGTTTGCAAGTTCGAAAACCTTTTGGCAAACTCAAACAAAAGCAGATTCATTTGGTGAACAGACGAAGCATTGTTGAGTCGCTTCGTTTTATTAAACCGAGATTTAATCCCGCCGTCAATCACGACAGAAAATATTTCTTGAATAGCTTTGATATTATGAAGCTGCTTCAGGTATTGCAGGCAATCGCTTACCCCCGCGTCAGGATCTTCTGATTTTTCTAAAATTCTGGATATCATTCGAACCTGCGTCGCTTGAATTCGGTCCTCGATGGACAAAGCTTCGTTGCTGAATGCTTTTGTGGCGTTTTCACGAGCGAGTTTGAACGACTCTATGGCAGAGAGATAGCGTTCCTTGGAATGTATTTTCAACGAATTGAAGGCCTTTATCAAAGACGTGACTTCGTTGATTTGAGAAACAAGACCAGTTTCTTCAGAAGACGTAGCTCCAGCTGAGGTTGCTTGTTCGGTCGATTCCGATCCTTTCTCGGATGCATTAAACTGTTGTAGCGACTGATAAAGACCATTGATTCCTTCTTCAAGAAAAAGAAGACTGCTCAGTAAATTCTCTCTCGCCAATCCATCCAACTTCCTCTTAATATCATCGAGTTCTCTCACGATCAAGCGTCGACATTCTTCGTCCGTGACGTCGCCATCGTTTAAACCTTCTGCAATTCTACTGCGAGCCTTGTTCACTAAAAATCCAAATGTCAGCTTCAAAACTCCGCTAACGATCTCAGTCATCTTGAAATAAACGAAGCGTTCTTCAAATAAAACGTTATATTAACTGCTTGTGAGACGGTCACAAGATCAACACACCCTCTAATTTCATTCAAATTCAAAGTTAATAACCAACTTATATACTGTCTCAAAAAATTCCGAACTTCGGGAGAGTTCGCTACTCCCTGCTGGGCATTTCAAAAACTGATTCTTTAGAGAGGGAATCACAGTTTTTATTGTAAGCAAACACTTAGTGTCTCAGGTTATGATGTATTGTGTGCATATCAACTCAATATTGGTTTGATGTGCTCCTAAATGAAAATGAACTAGAATATGTGGGTAAAAAAGTCGAAATAAAGACTGTTTCTTACGAGTCAATCAGTGACAATCACGAGACCAACACACCCATCCATCGCCCAGCAAGACGTCTAATTTCATTCAAATTTAAATTCAAACCATTTCATTGTCTTGTACTCGAAAAATTTCAACGTCAGCAAAGTTCTGTTTCAAAAATTTCAAAAATTCGTCAGAGAAGGAGTCAAAGGTTTTGATATAAAAAACTTGTTTGCTGATTTCAAACTTCTATGTTTCTCCAAAATACGATGTACTGTCTGGATATCTTACACAAAATTAGTTAGCCGTGCTTCTAAATGAATATGGGAAGGTTGGTGATATTATGATACACCACCCAGTTTGTCTTATGCATGTAGTCTGAACATTGTTCTATACTGTAATTAAATTTGACTACCTTTTTATATTACTATTGCCGTAGTTTAGTCTGATGAAATATCTTCAATTTGTAGTCAATATCTTTATTTTGTTCGTGCATGATGCAGGCAATTGCCCTAATCGTCTTCCTCGGGTGATTTTGTATTTTCAGGTGAAACGGACAAAGAATAGACACAAATATCGTGATTATTCGCATCACGCGGAGAGTTCGTTTCAACGTAAATACGATAGAAGATTTCGAGTGAGTATTTGATGTATCTTTTCTACTCATCGCAAAAACTCTACTTGCAAGTTCCATGTGAGTTTTGCGTATAATTTTTGCGTATATATCTGACTTTTGACAGATGTGAATGCGTAATTACTTACGAATGCTCTGATGTATAAGAGCTTTTATTTGAACATCAGTCACTAATTCACTCGTTCACATCTATCAAAAGAAGAAAATCGCAGCAAAAATCGCAAGTGTAAACGAGCCCTTTAGCCTGTCACTTTGCAGCTGCTTTCATGTCGTCGAGAAGCCGTGAAATTGCCTCATTTGAAAGCGTTGTAAGAACGAGAACGCTGTCGTGGTACCACAAGTTATGCACACCTATGACCTATTGTCTCGTTTGTGGAGTTTCTTTGTTTTGCGAGAGCGTCGTCGAGCTGGCCGCGTCTTAAATCTTAAACTCCCTACTGTGACGAGAAAGTCTTTATAAAGTTATTGTATCCCCCATATCCTGTCAAAATCGAAACTTAATTCAAACCAAATCGCCCTAAACTATTCTTTTTCCAGCTCCAATTTTTAAAACTGATGTGCGCTCGCAATGCTTAAAATGTTTTTCTCAAATTTTAGCAGGAAAATCGACATTCCACGTCTTCAAGTGGTTGGCACAAGCGTAGCTATGATCGTCACTCGCGGCGCGATAGGCGATGATGTCATTTCATTTCTGGAATCGACTGGAAAAGACTGAAGAAGCTGCCTCATGTTGGTACAGTCCAGATCCAAAATGGGTTTTTATATTTAACTGTGCAATTTTCTAATGTATGGGAGTCGAAATAGGTGGGTGAGAATTGAGGGGGTGGGTGAGGCATTGTGTGTGAGGAGACCACTGGAGGTATTTTACAATTAAATTACAGAAACATTGTCAATGGTATTGTATTTTTATTTTAAACAAGGGCTATAGTATATTTTATTATTTCCAGCTATAGTTTTTTCTATACATTCTTGTTCCAACATCTGGTAAGCAGAAAGTTCTGGTACACAAGGTATCAAGTGATTTCAATTCTATTATAAAAATTTTAAAAGCTCATCAGCTATGGTGATGGTCAAGCAACTGGCTAAAATATATAACTAAGGATTGTTCAACAGTTCAGTGTTTCTTTTCCAGAGCTATAATTTTGCTTGAAACTTGTGTTTCACAAAAAAATAAACTTTTTTATCTTATCTTACTGCATGTCTATGAGAAAGTCATTCTGTATGACTGTATAAAATGTTACAAAATTGCCAATTCTTGAATTTGATGACTGACAATGAAAAACTGTTTATCAACAATACTCTACAATGTCCATGCCCCAATTACAAATTTGGGGAGGGTCTATTAATGATTTTTTTGATATATCATGCATGTGATTTAAAATTACACTGATGTGATCATGTGAATGGTAAAATATTAATGGTTTATAGTGAACAAAAAGTCAATCCTCACAGGATGACAGTTACACACAGAGAGAGTTCAGTGATTTCAGAGAGTTATGAGTCATACAAGATTAAAAATAATTTCTCTGAACTCTTTGTATGTGATTGTCATGCTGTGGGAATTGATTTGACTAATTCAAGTTTTATTTACCATGCATTTATTGCATTGCCATTTGATCTATGCCCATAGTGCATTTTTTAATATTTGCCTTTTACATGAAAATAAGTCCACTAGAGTTAAAGAAATGTTACGCGCTGTTTCGAAACCAAAGCAACTGCACCATGGAGATTAGAAATAATCTCAACGAAGGACGAAGACTCCAGATCTAAATTGTCTTTCAGTTCTCCTGTTTCTGAGAAACTACAAAGATAACGTCCAATGTTAGTTAAAACCAGGATCCGTTTTGTGATGTAATTTATCGCAACAGAATAAATAGATCCATATTTTTCAGGTATCATAACTTTGCGTTCCAACTGTCTGTTCTCCGTGTAGATATAAAAACAATCTTCCCAAAGACCTGCAGCAATTATTTTTGTTCCATTATTATCTAGAAACCGTATCATATAGACTCTGTGAGATAATTCTTTGAGATGAAAACTATTATGGACTTCAAATGAATTCGTCTTACATGAAGTTCCGACATGTAGAATTTGTTTCTCTCGATCAAAAACGGCGATCATTTTGTCATTGTTTACTGCTATGGGTACAGCATATCCTAATATATATGTATATTCTTTCATGTGTTTAAAAGGTAACAGAGACTCAAGTTTTTTCTTTCCATGCTTATCAAATATCAACAACTTGTAACTCCATGGTTGATCATCGCTTTCTCCAAATCTCGTGATGACGTAAAGGTTATCTTCAGCATCGATATCCATCCCAGCTACCTTGCAACCTGGCAAATCCTCTTGTTTGGAAGGATCAAATATTGTTCGAGATTCTCCTGAGGGTTTCAAGATTTTAACAGATTCGTCTCCCACTATCGCAACAATTTCTCTTTTGCTATTTACAACACAACGAGGTGAATTAATACTTTCGGAAAATGTGTAACCCAGGTACGGCGACGTAATCTTCACACCAGACTCTCTGTATTTTTCAATAAGGCGATCACTCCTGACTAATGGATGATGATTTTTCTTTCCAAGCAAAATCTTGGGCCAATTATAAAACACTGTTTGCAAGTTCGAAAACCTTTTGGCAAACTCAAACAAAAGCAGATTCATTTGGTGAACAGACCAAGCATTGTCGAGTCGCTTCGTTTTATTAAACCGTGATTTAAATCCGCCGTCAATCACAACCGAAAATATTTCTTGAATAGCTTTGATATCATGAAGCTCCTTCAGGTATTCTAGGCAATCGCTTACCCCCGCGTCAGGATCTTCTGATTTTTCTAAAATTCTGGCCATCATTCGAACCTGCGACGCTTGAATTCGGTCTTCGATGGACAAAGCTTCGTTGCAGAATGCTTCGGTGGCTTTTTCACGAGCGAGTTTGAATGAATCGATGGCAGAGAGATAGCGTTTCTTGGAATGTATTTTCAATGAATTGAAAGCGCTTATCAAAGACATAACCTCGTTGATTTGAGAAACAAGACCAGTTTCTTCAGAAGACGTAGCTTCAGCTGAGGTTGCTTGTTCGGTCGATTCTGATCCATTCTCGGATTCCTTAAACTGCTGTAGCGACTGATAAAGACCATTTATTCCTTCTCGAAGAAAACAAAAACTGCTCAGTAAATCCTTTCTCGCCAATCCATCCAACTTCCTCTTAATATCATCGAGTTCTCTCACGATCAAGCGTCGACATTCTTCGTCCGTGACGTCGCCATCGTTTAAACCTTCTGCAATTTTACTGCGAGCCTTGTTCGCTAAAAATCCAAACGTCAGCTTCAAAACTCCGCTAACGATCTCAGTCATCTTGAAATAAATGAAGCGTTCTTCAAATAAAACGTTATATTAACTTATTCTGAAACTGTCACAAGATCAACACACCCTCTAATTTCATTCAAATTCAAACCAACTTATATATTGTCTCAAAAAATTCCGAACTTCGGGAGAGTTCGCTACTCCCTGCTGGGCATTTCAAAAACTGATTCTTTAGAGAGGGAATCACAGTTTTTATTGTAAGCAAACACTTAGTGTCTCAGATTATGATGTATTGTGTGCATATCAACTAAATATTGGTTTGATGTGCTCCTAAATGAAAATGAACTAGAATATGTGTGTAAAAAGTCGAAATAAAGACTGTTTCTTACGAGTCCATCAGTGACAATCACGAGACCAACATACCCATCCATCGCCCAGCAAGACGTCTAATTTCATTCAAATTTAAATTCTATTCTTCATTGTCTTATACTCGAAAAATTTCAGCGTCAGCAAAGTTCTGTTTCAAAAATTCTTCAGAGAAGGGGTCAAAGGTTTTGATATAAAAAACTTTTGTTTGCCGATTTTCAACTGCTATGTTTCTTCATATTACGATGTACTGTGTGCATATCTTACAGAAAATTATTTGGCCGTGCTTCTAAGTGAATATGAACTAGAGTTCTGTGAAAAAAAGTCGAAATAAGGAGAAAATGATTAGAAATATCTTGTGGCAGAAAGTGTGTGAGTCTTGTACGCA